TGTGTGCACTTGGATGGGTTAAATGCAGAGCACAAATTCCGAGTATGGGTCACCAATACTGTGTGTGTCCTATGCCTTAGTGGACAGCATGAAACCCACAAAAAATAAATAAATAACAGAGAGAATAATAATAATAATAATAATAACAGTTATTCTCTCTATGCTATTTTTCAATGTTTCAAGTGATGCAGGTGTTTTTTTTTAAATAAAAAAAAAAAGCATTAATTTTTCATAATGTTTAGTGAAATTATTTGGTAGTCTGAGGTGGGATGGGGATTCGGGAAAGCGGGATTTTTTAAAATAGGTTTAAAGGGGGGCGCGACCAAAAAAGTTTGAGAACCACTGGTTAAATGCCACATAATATTCAGTTTTGTTAAATGACACTTGTCAATATTTCAAATTTACACAATACAAATTCAATTAGTTTTGTCATATTATAAGCTCCATAGAGGGCGCTCTCGCGTGCAAACTCCTGTAGCGGTTGCTGAATAAACAGAAGATTAACTGCTTTCATTGATTCAACGTGACTAATAAACACACGACTGTGACAATATATGGTTTATCTGAGTTCTTATTATTATAATTTTCATTATAATAAAGTATATAATAATGCAATGCTAATCGACATAGCCTTTATCACTGCTTAGAATACTATGAAATAGGTTGCATGTAAGAAGCCACATCATCTCACAGAAGGATTTATTTCAAACACTCGACTGACGTTATGAAGTGAGTTTGGAGTAAAAACATGTTATTAAATGTGGTATTTTCACGAACTTTCAGATGGAGCAGCATTTACTACACAGAGCCGTAGCTCACTGACAAGCTACGCAAACAGCTGTCATTATCACAGAACGATTTCATAATATCGACGTATATTATCGATGATATCGTCTGCGATTATGAACGCGGATTTGCGTAGCTTCTCAGAGAACTACGGCTCTGTGTAGTAAATGCTGCTCCATCTGAAAGCACGCATGTAATGGTGATTACCACTGATTACAGAACCGGCTTTACTGACAAGATGCGCATGAATATCGCATGTAGGGTTGTAACGGTATGAGATTTTCATGGTATGAAACTAGTATTTGTAAATATTAAGCCGCAAAACGACTATTTAAATATGAATTCTGCGTGTCTCTGTGTTAATGAATGGCGCAGATGCGCGGTTTTGTTTACCACTCGTCCTGAAGCGCACGTGACGTTTGCTGTGATATGTCTGCCGTCTCACTAAATGAGAACAACAATACATGAACAACATCTCCAGAACTACTCTGAGAGTCACTTGATGAGCATTTGACCGTTTCATTTGAGTAAAACTATCATCATGTCATACACATCATGTCATCACAGAAATGTA